CATTTACAACAAAACGTTACAGTTTCTCATTTGACAAGTACAAACTGACATGCTGTTTGACTACTGTATTATGTGACTCTTAAACTGGGTGTACTCACATTCTACTGGGTAGAAATGTTTGCTTTGAAACTCAAATCTAATACGCAAGGGATTAACAGAGATTTTCTTCAATACAGATGCAGGGTAAGGGAGTCTAGTCGTCTTTCGGAGTACTCATATTTCTTTAGCCCATAGAAATCATTAATTCTCATTCGATCAATTTTATTTGAACTCACCTATCCTAAGTAGGGAATTCGTATACCAAGGTACAAACGACGCTTATCGTGTGTGTGTGTGTGTGTGAGGGGAGGAGGGCTGATGATACTACGCAGTGAGTAGATCCGTATTTCACCACAGATGCCGTCGGCTGAAAATAGACCACCTAAACCAATCAATAAGTCATGTCTTCACCCACCCCCATGCAATAATTTATGTTCACTAACGATCCAGTACTGTTAGCATACTCAACTCATAGGAAGAAGAAGCAAAAGTGACTCAATTTTCCGTAAGGAATCTATTCGAGATGTTTATTGTTTCCTAAATATTCAACACTTTTCCAAAGCAATGATTATTATTGTAGTGCTATGTCCTATTCTGTTTAATCAATGAATTTCTGTATCCTCTTCAAATTACCGCCGGTGTGCTTAGATTAATGAGTACTTTTCGGACCAGCTAGTTACTTTCTGAAAGATCGAGGAAAACTATATCCCCATATATGAGTACGCCTATCTTATAGAGTGAAAGAAAACAGTTGCACACTAGGGATGTCTGAAGAACACCACTCAATAAGCACTGTGAGACGACGATCTGTTAACTCGTGTAAAGTCCTACACCATCAGAAAGTGCAAACTGAGTCGCATCATTTTAAAGTTTGCAATGTACTTACTAGCTGAGTTGCCATCACATCCAACTTTCCACTGATATTAAACGGTTGGAAGCAATCAGCACAACCCCCCCCCCCCACTACGTAACCAGGTTCTATGCTTCTTCGCATTCATCACAAAAATGTGGCTTCAACATTTATTAGAACAAGACATATAAGCGAACAATATTGTTGTTTTCAATTAGATCTTCTTCAGGCTTTACTCTAGTTTACATAGACTTATATGTAAAATTTTAACCAATGACGGTGATTTTGTGGATCAAATAATAATTATAATAATAATGTGGTAGATATTTTGAACGTGGTTAATAACGATGATCATAATGATAACAAAATATTGATAATAAGGTTTATGCAGGTGGCGATAAGAATAACAAAGGTAGTAATATGTGTATATGTAGACAATTAAATAAATAAATTAGGTCAAATCTTAAAATTTACGTAATACTAAAGGTGAAGTGGACAGATAATCATAGTTCAAATAAATATCATAAAAATACGAAGGAGGTGGAAAATAAGAAAGGGTGGGAGGGTTTTGAATAGAATTCACCTAGGCCAAGGGAGAGATAAAGGTAGAACAAACTTCTTTTGTATGCGAAGACTAGGATTGTTCCAGTCCACAAAATCACCGTCATTGGTTAAAATTTTTTATATATATAAATCTATGTAAATTAGAGTAAAGCCTGAAGAACATCTAATTGAAAACAACAATATTGTTCGCTTATATGTCTTGTTCTAAAAATGGGAATATTTAAATACTCAACATTTATGCAATTCATATCGCATCTCAGATACGAACTCTCGTCGCCCAGTCTTACACAATCAAAGAAACCACCAGTGAGTTATTCGGAATCATCCCTGAGCAACCATCTACCATCAATTTTAGAATGAAGAGCGATGGCGAACCACTTAACCATAGTGACCACATTGCAAACTAGACTAACAGAATCCAGCAGTCAGCGACAACACCAAGCACTGCACATGCATGACACTGGTTACTCTTGACTGACTAATAATCAATATATCCATTACAGTCCCACAGAGAGTCAATTGTGAGCTCGAACAGTTCAGTAATTGATCTCTCTGACTACAGCACTACTAGTTCGAATCCCAGAAGGGATATCAATTACTTCAAGATCATAGATACCCCTTGCTTATTGACGAGTGCCAACAAGCCACAGTTGCCTGACTTCAACACCAGTCTCACAATTCCCATGATGACATTACACCATTTTTACCATATATAGCCACAACCTGGCTGGAGTCATCGATGATAAAGGATGGGATATTTAGCAGGTCGCCGCCGACCTTCATGAGGCTTATGATACACAACTTTGAGAAACCGTAACCAACCCCCGCCCCCCCCCCCACAGGTGGAAAGTATCAGTGAATTCAAGCACAACTAACTGGTCACAAAACCCGGAATCGTTTTACACAGCTGACGATTTACTATATGGGTAGGTTTGGAGTAATAATATGAATCATACAGGAAGCGCTCACAAATGTGGAGAATTCTACTACGACATCCCTGCTCAGCATTCAATCAACGTAAATAGCTAACTGCCTATTACAGTATTCCCGTGATGAAGTAAGTCAGAGTTAGACATGTTCAAGTCAGTTATGCGTAGAATGCAAGGCAAGTAGTATATCAGTCGATAAGATTGTAAAGTAATGTCAGAAATGGGATGCTTTATACGCACTAGGACATCATATCCCCGAAAAACTTGAATAAAGGCGAGTGTAGGACTAATCCAGAAGGCAGACAATTACACAAGTAGGCAACTGTCAGCTTGATAGACACAGGATACCCTCGTTGAAGTCTCTTAGGTATCTATCACAATCCAACAAAATTAACAGTGCGACAACTGAACTCAAGTCAGATAGCAGCAATGTACACCTGCGTTCTATTCTCACGATCACTAGGCGAAAGAACTTGAACAATCACGTTTTTTCTCGAGATCCTTTGTTGGTTGTGGTGGTGTCGCGGAAGCAGCAGTAGTATTTCAAGAAATTCAACAGTAAACAACGGGTTGTGCTGACATCTTATGTTACCCATTAACCGAGATTTTCAATGAATCTTTTTCCAAAAGTATTAACTCTGACTCATAGAAAAATATTAAGGTTGTTCCATTGCCTAAATCAACAAGTGGACCTACTGTTAAGTTTCGACCGATTGCTATTAACTCACATTTTTTAAAAGTTATGGAAAGACTTATTCTACTTAATCTTGAACCCTTTGTAAAGCCTTTCAATGACCCCAACCAGTTTGCTTATAAACAGAGTAGATAGGTGTACCTTAGATGCCGCTGCTGTTCTATATCATAATATAGTCTCTAGTTTAGATAGAGGAGTTAAATACGTTAGGTGTGTGTGCCTTCCTTGATTACACGTCTGCATTTGACTCTGTACCTAGGTCTCTCTTGCTAAGTAAGCTCGCTGCAACACAGAGTGAGAGCTGAACAAATAAGTGGTTGCATTCCTATTTTTCTGATAGGAAGCAGTACACCGTCTACAAGGGAAAGTCCTCCACTACCTACCTCACTTACTTTATCTGGTGTTCCTCAAGGTCCTGTTCTTTCTCCTTTTCTGTTTTCTTTTTTCTTACATGACTTGCTCCATTCTGATGTAGCCACTTTCGTCAAGTATGCTGATAACCTCTCTGTTTCCATGCCTGTCAACTCTCAGTCAGACTGTTCCAAATTAAATTACTTTCTGTCGGAAATTAGTCAGTGGTCCTCTTCAAACAGTCGTAGGCTAAATCCGTCTAAATGTCAGGGAGTCAATTTCACTTTCAGACAAAAATGTGACCTACAACAACTAGCTAGCTCACATGGCCCCACTATCATTGACGGCATAGAGGCTGAAATTACATTTAATGTCAAGTACCTTGGACTGAGTATTTCCTACGATCTTTCCTGGTCCTCTCACATCTTGCTAGTTACTAGAAAGATGCTTCGCTCAACGTTCTACATTAGGAAATTAAGGCAGTCTGGCATAAAGCAGTCTTTGCTTTCTCAGTTTGTCAATTCTTGTATTCTACCCATCCCTCTTTACTGCTCCCCATTAATCTTTCCTGGACTACTTAAGAAAGATTTTGCTTTGCTGAGGAGGCCACTAAAAGTTCTACTAGGGCAAGTGGGATATCGTTAAACCAACTGGTTAACACCATTGTGGATAGACATATAATGTCATGTAAGAAACTAGCGAATGCTATATTGTCAGACCCTGGGCATCCTCTTTATACGCAGCTCTCTCCTTGCATTTCATCTGGTAGAACTAGAAGCAGCTATAGGAGGCTATATGCTAGGACTTCCAAGTAAAAAACTCCACAATACCTTATCTGGCACAGCTGTTATGTGATAAGAAATCCGTTAGGGGTATGACACGATCGACTTACTGCGGCAATTTAACAATTAGTCCCAATAGTTTTTGTTTTCCTTTCTGTGTTACTATTATATTGTTGTTCACATCTTCTGTTACACACTAATTTTATATTTCATATTCCTGTGATGCATTGTTTAAATATGTGAATGCAATGCTGTTCTTTTTTATTTCTTTCATTTATCTTTTTTTCTTCCTGTTGTTATTGCTTTTTGTTTTTAAAATCTTATAAAATTTATGAGGTAATTAGATGCAATATTGTAATGCACGCTGGAAATTCCATACCTGTACCACAAATACAGTTTGGAATAAAGCTATTATTACTATTATTATTTATATTAAACCACATTTATGTTAGACACACAATCATCAAGGAAATATTTACAGTTAGTCAATAACATTTCACTGTACACATGTTGAAGAGAATTAGAAGGACGACGTCAAAAGTGCATAGAACTTCAATCAGAGATGACATATGCCTAGTCATCGCATTCCTCGACGAGCAATGTTGGCTGACATAGGGTCAGGCTGGAAAACTGCTAGCGGCGATCAAACCAAAACCTGGCTTCATCAGTCAATGAAATCCACAACAGTTAGTTTAAGCCAATCATGTAGGAAGGTGTAGACTTCCTTCCAATAAAAGAATACCTTTATGAGTGAGTGTAAGACATCACACACCCATTGATGACATTCGACTTCAAGGCAGGTAAGATGGTGTTACAAGATGACAAAAGTCATCATCAAATGCCAAAATCTATCAACAACAGTCAAGCAACCACAATCAATAGTTGAATGATCAAAGCACTGGACTCGTCACCTGAAGACCCTGGGTAGCATAGACACCTAGGAGCATGCATTGTGCGTGCGTGCACTACTACTGCTGAACTGTCCCCAAATAACGCACGACGACGAGACAGCTATCCATCCAGTCTTCCCTGCTTTTCAAACACCCGTTGACAATTTATTCGAGCGGAAGGGTCGATAACATTAGCTCAACACAAAGAGAGAGAGAGAGAGACAGGCAGATAGACAGACAAAGTCAAATAACAATGTGGAGACGTGGCAGCTCATTGGTTTCACTACATGACTTCCACTCACAGAAGGCTTTCACACTTCGAATCCCACTCCACCACCTACTTTGGTGCAACCTAACCTGACCAACTAACTCGGTAGTATCATCAGCTCTCTGTCTCTCTCTCTTTCTCATAGAACAAGTGTGGCGAGTGGCACACAGTCACATGGAATATGGAAAACTCCTTCTGGGAATTCAATTCAAACAACGAGTAACTGTAAAAGACAGTTGTTGCTGTTCTTAATCCCCGTCTTATTATTATCATCGTTAAACTAAACTATAATCGGTGGAGTATAACACAAAAGCTAACAACACACGCTGGGGGAGAGTATTATACAAATATATATACATATATATATATATAAATGTGTGTGTGTGATTTACCTTCTTCCTGTTATTCAATAACAACTTCCTTCTCACCACCTGTGAATGATGTTCAGCTAACTGTGCCTGTACTTCTTCCACTGTTGCCTGCATTTTCTTATTATCTTTCACTAGTAAATCCACTACTCCTTGATATTCCTGAAACACAAATCAATAATTTAAAATAAAAATCAATAAATAACTATGAAAAATCACAGATAAATGCATAAGACAAATATATGCAACAAAGAAGGTGTTAACCACTCACAACAACATTTCAAATTCAAAGCAATTCAATCGATCACAAATTGGCTGACTTCGATTAGACGATAGCCAGTGAAAACCAACGCGGAGGACTTGACAGAGCTGATTCATGGTTGTCTGGGACGTTTTCTCTCTCCCTCTGAGTAGTACACACTCATCACATAAAATATAACAAATCACAAAGCCACGCGACTACCTACAAGTTAACAAGGCCAGTAAGTGTACTATTCAGTCCAAGGAAGGGAAGGAATTCAATAACTTGTGGACTCTCTGACGACTTTTGTCAATTCACGATACACCGCCATCACAAGGTAATGTCAACAACGATTATCATTCAGTCAGTCAGTCCTCACACCCAACTACTTCGTGCATCTTCCTGCGCTCATCACTCTAACCAAATAGAAGAACCACAGGCAGCTTCATCCTCCACTCATGCTCAGCATTCATCACCAAATGACTTCAATTAGCAATCAATCAATCAATCAATCCCCTGAAAACCAACACTTCACAATCCCATTGACATTTTTTTGCTTATAACTGTTATTACTGGTATGCAAGCGTCCACTAAACCAATAATTCCCACCTAGTCTGAATCAGCGCTGTTTGTTATGTTGGTGTTGTGTTCTTTTTCAAATCACATACCTTCACAGTAACGCCAAGGATGATTCTCAGAGGACCGCACGCAATTTCTATTAAAGGAACATTGTGGACTGTCAGTTGGCGTCGTTTACCTTGACAACTACAATGGTATCATCTTCTCATCTTGGAAACTCTGATTTCCGCTGTAGTCTGCTTGGAAATCAATCAAACCAGAATTTCACCTCCTAAACATTACACAACCCAATTCCCTACTTCAGTGTTTCACCATGCAGGCAGTTTTACACAAAAACCTCTGTCTTGATCACTCAAAACTGCTCAAAGTTAAGATTTTCTCTGCTCCTGACGACAACCCGTCGAAAGCACCAGGAAGCATGACTACAGAATTGGGAACAAGACACGCCCACTCATCTCCATCATCATCACCCACCAACCCACCCGCTTACACAGGCACAACTGAAAGCCTGTACACAGACACTGCATCAAGTCGAACACTACTACTCATGATAGTCGGCGAAACCGTTAACAAGCGCACCAGCATGCGACCCCCAATAACCAGGTCCATCTAAACGCCTTTTAACTGCACCAACTCTTCAATGTACGCAATCGCAGCTAGAATGTTGGAAGAATAGCAGACTGCAGACTTGTTCAAGTACAAATCACACCGTCAACAACACACACACACACCTAGAGATGACAATGTCAGCACCATATAGCTTAATGAAACTCTGATTTCCCGCAGTAGCAGATTTTTCTTACTCATTCGATTATCAGCTCCACACCTCGTGTGTGCGTGTGAACGCTGCTTGTCATACACTACTCACTTGCTCAGGTCAAAATAATAAGTACGACTGTATTCCAGCCCGAGATTCACTAGTTGAAAGTCAAGCGGTTAAACAAGGTAGTCAGGTCACACAACCACCTCAACGTATTAACACGACAGCTACGCGAGGCCTAAGTGTTCGATTCCTGAGAGACACGCTCCAAAACACTTCGTTTACCACTCGCCAGTAAACTCAGAAAACACGAAAGGTTGGAAGTAACACTAGCAACCCTACCAGCCCGTGGAAGAACAACACACCTGCCGAGTCTTCAAATGCCTCAAGTTCCATCTTCTAATTTGGGACTCATGGAGTTAGTGAGTGAGAAATAAAAACATTTTAATTCAATTTGGCTGATTGTGTCTTTATATCACAGCATAGTCATCATTGTCGACCTTTAGACCTTTAAAAAACTCAACGACTACTCCATAACGCTTACAAAATGTCAGTCTCGTGTGATTCATTAGTCCTTCAGTCGGGATTTCACTTAAACACACACTAAATTTTCACATTCAAAACAATTTCCCTGGCAAATCAGGCAGGATATGGAAATAAAATTACTCTAATTGATGCAATCTATCACCACATCACATCACATAACATAACATCAATTACGCATTTTCATTCTCCTCGAACACCGCTCTCACAGTCGAATACATTCATACTACGTGAGTCAAACTTTTAATTGTTCGATTTTTCTATTAGGTTTCAGTCTACTACTTCTTTACTAACTCGACTACCAAACAACTGAGAGCCACACAAATCCCAACCCTACCCTACCCTACCCTATCACCAGCCAACTGTATGGTGGACATCCAAGTGATTGGTTCTTCACTTCACAGTGCCAAACAAAACAACACCACAGCTACAGAAACCTCCAAAGCTTCTAACCATGCTATATTTTCACTCGGAATACAACAAAGGAGGCTCTCTCATCCACCGAATGGCTAAAACGACGAGTTCGACGTGTGACCGAGAGTGTGAAGTGGAGGAGGAGGTATCGTGCCACAAAGAAATGAAAAAACACATGCATACTTATCGAATCATATGAGGACGACTATAAAGATAACAGGATTGAAAGTGGAGATTGTCCTGTTCATTCAAGCCCTCGCTCCCTCCCGATCCCCCCTCCACTTCTTTTTCTCTACACTGAAATCAAATCAAATCAAAAACAATAATAAACACACACACACACACAGACACACTCAAATCATCAACTTGCTTACTTTCTCGTTATTTGTAACTTCCACTAATTTCTCCATTAAGGCATACACTTGATCAAATGTTGGTTTCAACTCTGTAGTTATTAAATGTTCATATTTTTGAAGCATTGATAAGCTATCCACAGCACGATTGAATGCTTCAAATTCTCGATGAATATCTGATTCAACTGCATACAATTGACTTTCTACATCTGATATTAATTTTGGTAATAGCTCACAATTGTCTATCAATGAACATTGTACAGTTTCACAATCTTCATTGACACGTTGAAGTTTATTTTTATATGATTCTATCTAAAAATTAGAAATAAAAAATTGGAGCAAATATCAATCAGTTGACAACACGACGACTATTGACTGAACACCGACCCCTAGATTAGAAATAGGAAGTGAAGTGGTAGAGCACGTTGACCGCTTCACTTACTTGGGAAGTACCATCAGCCAGCCCCAACGGGTTGATCTCTGACGAAATCTTAGTACGAATTCAGAGAGCTAGTTTCGCTTATGCCAGTTTACGCCGTCTCTGGCGTAGACGTGATATCCGACTATCGACCAAAGGGCGGGTGTATTGCTCAGCAATTCGCTCCGTCCTCCCTTATGGCTGTGAGACCTGGCCATTGAGAGAGGAAGACATGAAAAGATTAGCTGTCTTCGATCATAGGTGTCTGCGTTCTATCTCCCGTGTGAAGTGGTATAATGAGGTGAGCAATATTGAGGTTAGGCGTCGAGTGCTAGGTAAGGAGGGGAAATCAGTCAACGAGACTGTGAAATTACATGGACTGAGATGGTTAGGACATGTGTTACGTATACCTAGTCATCGCCTTCCTCGACAATGGGCAATGTTAGCTGACATAGGGTCAGGCTGGAAAAGAGCTAGCGGTGATCAAACCAAAACATGGCTTCATCAGTCAATGAAATCTACAACAGTTAGCTTAAACCACTTAGGAAGGTGTAGACTTTCTGGTCGGGGTCCTCGAGATGGTAAAAACCAATGGAGGCTGGGGACAATTCGTGACATGGCTTAAACTCGTTCTCAGTGGCTGGCGCAGATGCATCCACTCCTTGTGACTTATGATTTCCAATGAAACTGTTTTGTTCTTCGTTATTACTATTCCTCTGTTTACTGTTTCTAATATGCATTGCTCCTACTTTCTTCTCTTGCTTTGTGTGCTGAGTGAAGTATGGCGACTTGAGCTGCCGCACATATGTGCAAGGTTCTATGTCGAAAAAGAAGAAGAAGACTATTGACTGATTGAGTTTCCAATGTGTGGGACTTTGTGTGCAGAAAAGTGCGTGTGTAGCAGTAGCAGTAGCAGTGGTTCAAGTTGCTTGACACACACTCATCAATATACCACACAACAACAACACAGGTGTAGAGGAAAGAAAACACTCAAATGACCTATTATTCATAAGGAGCAGAAATGTGTCTGGGAGGAACATGAGGACTGAATGAGTTTGCGATACGGAGAGAGACACAGACAGACAGAGAGATTAGAAACAGTGAATACATAAGGGTGGGTGGGTCATTCACAATCATCTTCAGACATATGACTAACAGTCTCCAGCTATTGTTTCTTACTTACCATCGCAACTACTTCACAAATGGGCAGTTTAAATCGGTCCACCCACCATCACCCACTGCTGACACACCTTATGTGGGGAGTCAAACCAACAGTCATCAATTAGAAGACGTCAGCCTTTAATTCGAACAAGACATGTAAGCGAACAATATTCCTGTTTTCAATTAGAACTTCTTCAGGCTTTACTCTAATTTACTTAGATTTTGTGAATCAAATAATTATAATAATAATAATGATAGTAATAATAATAGTAACAATAATGTGGTGAATGTTTTGAGCATCACTTATAATGATGATTATAATGATAACAAAATATTGATAATAAGGTTTATGCATGTGGAGATAAAACCTCGCCTGGCTAACTAGCTCACCAGTTTTATAGCCGGTCCCAAGCCCGGGTAAAGAGGGGGGGCTGGGAGTGGGACTAGCAACCCCACACCACTAAATCTTTAAAACCGCTAGAGAAACTTCAACATACAGAAAATATATTAAAAATACAAAAAACTTCAAAATATTAATATCTTATTCTCCGCTCGAATCGGAGAGGCGAAATGACACAGTGCGCTGGCTGGTGGAAGCATTTGGGAAGCCAGTCAGCTGATGTGTCTTCTCTCAATGAAGGCAAGAGTAAGAATGGCGACGTGGAATGTCCGTACAATGTACGAGACTGGGAAGGCTGCCCAGGCAGCCGAAGAGATGATAAGATATGGCTTAGAATTACTGGGTATCTGAGAAAGCAGATAGAATGTATGTGGATTGATAGCATTTTCAATGGGAGAGCCACTAATCTATTCCGGTCATCCAGACGACAATCACGAACACACTGAGGGAGTGGCTATCATGATGTCACCAGTGGCAGCCAAAACCCTAATTGACTCTGGGAACTAACATCATCCAGGATCATGACAGCGAGATTCGACTCAAAAGGAAGGAAGGAAGGTAACAATTATCCAATGCTATGCACACTGCTACAAACAATGCAGAACATGGAAAGAAAGAGGACTTTTACAGACAACTACAAACAGTAATGGATAACATCCCAAATGGTGACATCAAAATCCTTATGGGCGATATGAATGCAAACCGGACTGGGAGCAGATAATACAGGAAGAGAACTCATCATGGGTCGACAGGCTCTCACTCGGAGAAATGAATGAGAACGGAGAATTATCCGCAGACTTCTGCTCTTTCAACGATTTGGTGATCGCAAGGAGCGTGTACAAACACAAGGCAACATGGATTTCACCTGACGGACATACTACAAACCAAATAGATTTCATATCAATCTCAAGGAAGTGGAGACGCAGGCTGCTGGATACAAAGTTGAGAAGGGGAGATGTGGGCTCAGACCATTATCCAGTTCAAGGAACCTTCAAGGTGAAGCTGAGATCCATGAAAACAAAAGGAGACAGACCACAATTCAATTTCAACATTCAGTAACTGAAGGAGAAAGCTACAAGGGATACCTTCACTACAGATCTGATCAGAGCAAAGTTGGAGACTCTACGTGTTATCACCGAGGGAACCTGTATGGAAGAACACTGGAACTCTCTGAAAGCGATATTCAAGGAAATGTGTACAACTGTTTTAGGAAGAAAGAAGAGACACGATTAGGAATGGCTGTCAACGGACGTCTACCTGGAAGTTAGTCGAGGAGAGGAGGATGGTGGGAGAGATAACTCAATGCAAAGATGAACAACAGAAGGAGAAGCTGAGTTTAATGTCCACTGTACTGAAGAGTGCTAGGGAAGACAAAAAACAATTCTACGACACACTGGTAACTGAAGATAACAGGCCGCAGGCAAAAGAGACATCAGGACATATCATATCATATAACCACGCTGCTCGCCATCCGGGAAGAGATCAACCCAGATGATAAAAACAAATAAAAGATGCTCAAGGGGACCTGATCACCAGGGAGAAACAAATCAAACAATGGGCTGATCACTCTTGAATCGACCACCACCGGCAACTCGCCCAGAAATACCACCAACAGCACACACGGAAAGGCCTGACAGTGGACACTACTCCTGCGACGAAAAAAGAAATCCTGAATGCGATCAAGCTACTGAAGTCGGGGAAGGCAGCAGGACCAGGCGGAATTCCTCCTGAAGCACTGAAGACGGCACCAGAGATTACGGCAAGTGTTCTCACCACATTACTGCAAAAAGTTGGGAAAGAAGGGGAGTTGCCAACTGATTGGAAGAAGTGCTACCTCGTCAAACTGCCAAAGAAAGGCGACTTAGGCCTCACTGTGCAAGAACTGGCGTGGAATAATGCTCTTGTCCACGCCAAGTAAAATACTAAGTCGCATCATCTTGGAGAGAATAAAGGATGCACTGGATTCAGGAAAAGCAAGCCATGTGCTGATCAAATTACACTCTACGCATCGTCATTGAACAAAGCATAGAATGGCAGTCAAATCTCCACCTCAACTTCCTCGACTTCGAAAAGGCCTTCACCAGACGGCGTTGACCAAGAAGTAGTTTGGAAACTACTACAACACTACGGTGTACTTTGAGTCTTCGTCAACCTCATTCTACAGCTATGTGACAATACCATCTGTCAAGTGATCCACAACGGAAAACTCAGAGAGACGTTCGAAGTACATACAGAAGTCAGACAAGGCTACCCTATTATCACTAATGATATTCTTAATTGTGGTGGACTGACTTGATTATGTGGCAGACTGTTGGAGGCGAGGAGTCAGCAATACGCTGGACGACCGATAAGAAGACACTAGAAGATCTGGATTTCGCTTTCGGATGATATATGTCTGTCACACAAACTTGAAGACTTGCAAGCGAAAACCAACAAACTGGCTGAAGACACTGGCAGCGAAAACAGGACTGCAGGTGAACACAGAGAAGACGGAGGTGGTGAATATAACCAATCAACAGTAACAACAACAAGCACCAATCACCATCAACGGGAGAGATTTCACAGAGGTTACTTCCTTCACTCATCTAAACAGGAAACATCATTTCAACTACCGGCCGAACGTACGCATTTCAAAGTCGGAATCGGAAAGGCAAGACACGCCTTCATCAACCTGAAACCAGTTTGGAAATCTCCTGCACTCCGCCTCAGCAGCATAGGGAACAAGATTCGCATTTTCAACACCAATGTGAAATCAGTCCTTCTATACGGATCAGAAACTTGCACTGCGTGTCACGAAAAGGATTTCCAACAGGTTGCGTCATCAACAGCTGCCTTCGCTCTATACTGAAGATCAAATGGCCGGCCAGAAAGAATAAGTAACAAGAAACTCTGGCTGGGTACAAACCAACCAAGAGCAGACTTCTCAACAAATATGTAGGAGAAAGTGGAGATGGATCGGGAACACATTAAGGAAACCGTAGAATGACGTCGAGCGCCAGGCCCTCGAGTGGAATCCCAATGAGAAGCAACGAGTGGGTCGTCCTGGGTCGACATGGAGGAGATTATAGGCGATCGTGGACCCAGATGGACCCATGCTATTCCATCCTGTCAAATGTACGATGATCCTGCACGACTCAGCTGCAACAACTCCTAGCTTAAAGACAGAGGGAAGTGAAGTGGTAGAGTGTGTCGAACACTTCACTTACGGCTGTCACACATGGTCGTTGAAATCACAAGACATTAAAATGCCAGCTGTCTTTCATCACAGGTGTCTGCTTCTTCCCCACCGTCTTAAGTGGTATAATATGGTAAGCAATATCGAGGTCATATGGAGTGTATTGGGTAAAGACAATTGGGCAAAACAAACAATCACGTTGTGAAGCTGGATCGATTGAAACAGCTACAGCATCTGTTACCCATGCGAATCCACGCCACCATCGACATACAATGTTAGCCGACAAACGATTAGGTTAGGAAGCAGTAACAGATGGTCAAACCAAAAGCTGACATCATTCAGTCAGTCAATGAAATCGCTCACACAGAGTTTAAACCATGTAGGAAGGCGTACACTCCCTGACCGGGGTCCTCACAACTCTAAGGAACAATCACCAATGGATGCAAACTATGGCAGATATGGCTACAAAATCTTTCTCAATGGCAGAGATGCATTGACTTCTTGGCATTTCCCCCATCCATGAAAAAACCTAATGTTTTTCCATGTTTCTATTCATTCTTCATCACATTTCTATTTATCATAGTACTTCTGAATCAATTCTTCCTCTCTTTCCTCCACACCTTCGTGTGCTACATGGAATGTGGAGACTCGAACTGCTGCACTTCTGCGCCAACTTCTATGTTAGGTCTCAGCCAACAGGGATAGATGGATGGATGCAAGTACCAGGTATCTCTGCACGCTTCCATCACCTCAGAAACCATATACTTATTATGCAGCTTCGTCATTTTCTATTCATTCATACACTGTCGTTACAATCTTTCTCCTCCCTTCCTACATTTCTTTCTTTCTTTCCGACTGTTACTCATCACTCAGACAGGATTAGAAACCATGCTTACCTCCGTCTAATCTCACAGTCCCACAGTCACAAACTGCAACTTTCAATATCTCAAAACTATATGTCAGATAGTACAAATATTTATTACATTCAAAGATCAGGCCATCAATTACTACTGTACCACTCAGTCACATAAGACTTAAACATAAATAACTGTTCGGTTAAATTCCACCTGAGATAATCAAAATCAAATCGTCTCACGAATAGTCTTGACCTCTACAGTAGAACAAAATCCACTCTTCACAACTGCATCTCCCCGTGGATATTCATCCATGTGTGCTGTGCACTATTTGACTAACAAGGGATTTGTGACAACAAACAAAAACTTCACATATACACACTCATTTAAATTCCCTTTCGTAGTCTACGCCCACCTGGTCACTCATCTCAGTCTGAACAAAGTGAACTATCATTTTTACAAGCCATCTAGAGAATGTAGCACATCAAAACAACGCCTGGACAAAACAGCCTACAGCAATAACCTCAATACAGCATGAACAAGAATGGAAAAACGAATCAAAGGTACGAGATTCATTCCACATTGTAACGTGAAAC